GAAGCCCTGACACCCAAGGGAGCCTTTAAAGAAGTAGTTAAGGTTAAATGAAGTAATAAACATAGGCCCCAAAACAACAGAATTTGTGTCTTTTAAGAAGAGGACAGACCCAACTGTCTTGTTTTCTCTGCACTTGCCCTGAGGAAAGGCTATGCTCAGACACAGAGAGAAGGCTGCCATTTGAAAGCCAGGAATTGCGGGGTGGGGGGGGGTACCAGAACCTTGATCTGGGACTTTCAGCCTCTAGAACTGTGAGAAAATTAATTTTTGTTGTTTAAGGCACCCAGTCTACAGTACTTTTTTTTTTTATGTTGGCCTGAGCAGACTAAGGTAACAATTAATAGGATAAGGGGAGAGTGATGAAGGAGAGCAGTTTTTAGGCTGGGAAACAGGAAGGAGAGGCATAGCGTCCTTGGAAGAAGACAAGATATTTTTTTTGTGGTCAGTGGAACAGCATTAATTATTATGTATTTAGGAGTCACCTGACTTGAACAGTTAGCTATTTAAAACCACTTACTCAGTAAGTGTGTCTAATTATACCCCTAACCATGGTGGACCCTGTGCTTGTTCTGAGAATACAAACTAAATAAGACTAGTTTTCTACCCTTAAGGAACTCACAGTCCAGTGGGGAGAAATACTATTCCCTTTTGTGAAGCTAGCATTCCAACCAGAAAGGCCATTTTCCTTTACCCTACTGCTAAACACTTGCAACTCTTAAGAGCTATAGAGATAAAATCCCATATGGAGCTGGAAAATGGATGGAACTGGAGATGACTGTGTTAAGTGGAATAAGTCAGTCCCACAAGGATAAGTATTGCTTCTTTTCCTCTCATTTGCGGAAGCTAGGGGAAGGGGAGCAAAAAACCAAACCCTAGGTCATGAAAACACAGGGGGACTACTAGAAAGGTAAAGGAAACGGTAAAGGGAAGGTGGATAGGAGGGAGTAATGCAGTACACTGTATGCATGTATGGAAATGTCATAATGAAACCCCTTACTGTGTATGATTAATATACACCAAGTAAAAAATTCCGTATGGACGAAGCATTTGGAGGCATGTGATCAGATTTGAACCTGGGTCTTGGAATATACTGCCTGAGTGGTGATAATCTTAGGCAGGCCAAAGAACTCTTCTGAGGCTTAGGGTCACCTTCTGCAACTGCAGACTTGTTTCAAGGATCAGATGACAAATGGTAAATAGAAATGTTTTGTATAGTGCAAGATACATGTTAGCAATTATTATAATTATTATAGCTACATTTCTAACCCACAGAAACTCAAGTGAATCACCAAGTCAAAGATGAAAGGTCAGCTTTGACACCTGTGGGTGGTAGGAATTCCAGGACAGAGGAATAGGCTGGAGGAGGGGTTTGGGGCATGAGGCTTTGGGGTTCTACAGTTCCATCACAGTTCAGTCACTTACGTCACTTACTAGTTATAGAAAGTTGAGGAAGTCATGTTATTGATCTGAGCTTTTATTTCTTCATCTGTAAAATGGAGTTAATAATACCTACCCAGGAGGGTTGTTCTGAATATGCAGAGAGCTTGGCATGGTGCCTGGTAGAGCTGTCAGTCAACTAATGGTAACTTTGCTCCTATTAATAAATACAATCATTTTCCTCTTTCACCTCCTAAGGGGTTTGTTTAGGTGGTTACTTGAGATGCAAGGAAGTGAGGAAAATGGAAAAGCTATTAAAGACTTGCTTAGAAAGTTATTTTTAAAGGTAAAGAAAAGCAGTTATACAAATAAGTCAGGCCCAGTGGCTCACATTTGTAATCCCTGATACTCAGGGGGGAGATCTGGAGGATCATGATTTGAAGCCAGATCAGCCAAAAAGTTTGAGAGACCCATCTCAACCCATAGCTGGGTGAGATAACAGGTATACACCTGTTATCCTAGCTACACTACACAGGAAGTACAAATAGGATCACTGTCCAAACCAGCCCAGGCATAAATGCAAGACCCTATTTGAAAAATAAGTAAAGTAAAAGGGACTGGAAATGTGGCTCAAGTGGTAGCATGCCTGCCTAGCAAGTGCAAGGCCCCAAGTTTAAACCCCAGTACTGAAAAAAAAGAAAGAAAGAGTTATGCAAACCTAACTTATGGAAATAAACCACTGTTAATTGGAGACTGATACAACCTCCTTGTTAATTGTTCTTTATAGTCTACCCTAAGTAGATATAACAAGCACTGTTAATAATGGTTCTCTGAAGGTAATACTTCTCAAATTTTAATATAGACACCAGCCACCTGAGGCCTTGTTAAAATGCAGATTTTTACCAGGTGTGGTAGATCATACCTATAATCCCAGTACTCAGGAGGCTGAGGCAGGATTGTGAGTTCAAGGCTGGCCTGGGCTACATAGGGAGTTTGAGGCCAGCCTTCACTGCATAATGAGACCTTGTCTCAAAAAAACAAAATAAAAAGGCAGATTTTCATTTAGTGGATTTAGGGCTAGACAAGAAATTTTAAATTGGTAATAACCAAGCAGGTGAAACTTTTGCTGATGGTTCAGGGACTGCACATGGAGGAAGTGGCAAGGCCTGGAAGGACATAGTGTTCACTGTAAAGGCCTACTTCTTGTTAGTCATCTACCTAATAATGACAGACTATTAATAGAACACTTATAGGCTTGTTTCAGACCAGATTTAGAAGTCTGAACAGGGACTCATTTCCGATCAACATCATTTTTTTGGAACAATATACTATGTGCTGACCACTGTGCAAGGCACTGAGGACACAGAGGTCAATACAACAATTCCTGCTTCTTCGCCCTATGAACTGTTAACTTCTTGGTGGCACTCTCGTCTCCACTGTTGCCTAAAACCTACAGATGCTCAAAAAACACTAAATGAATGAGTTCACAGGAGTGTCCTTAAAATGTTTTCTGGCCACATTTAACTACTCTCTGCTTTAACTATCACATGTAAGAGATGATTATGTTAAAATGAGGCTATTAGATTGGTCCCTATTCCAATCTGACTACTGTCCTCGTAAGAGGAGGAAAAATTTGAACCCACAAAGACACAATGAGGATGCAGTGCACAAAGGCAAGACCATGGCAAGACACAGTAAGAAGGTGCAAGCCAAGTAGAAAGGTCTAGAAGAAACCAAACATGCTGACACCTTGATAGTGGACTTCCAGCCTCCAGAACTGTGAAAAGACACATATCTGTTGTTTAAGCCACGCACTCTGTGATGTTTTGTTATGGCAGCCCCAGCACATTGACACAGATTTTTCATGGGTTTCATGCACATATCCAAGACCCTGCTTCTGTAGGGTCCACCCAACATAAGCATAATGCTAATAATTGATGCATGAACCCCTGAGAGCAGTGGGAACTATTAGTGCAAGGATTAAGGGCAGACAATACCCCAAACTGGGCTAAAATAAGTGCCATATTCACAATTTCCCTCCCCTTCTCATAATACCAACACAAAGTCTAAGGCTGTTCTCTCTCCAAAATCCCCAAGCTTTGGGATTTTTTTTTCCCCTTTCCCAGGCTATGTTTTGATATATAACATGACTTCAAAATACTGTGTCAGGAGGAAGACCCCAGATTTCTCCATGTATCCCACGTCCTAAAGAGCATCTATGGTGATAAGTTAATGAGGTTTTTTTTTTTTGGTGGTACTGGCCTTTGAACTCAGGGCCTCATGCTTGCTAAGCAGGTCCTCTACCACTTGAGCCACTCCACCAGCCTGTAGATTGAATTTTTGACTAACAAAAATGCACAATCAAATAAGAGTCCTGTTCATCACAGGGAAACTTATGCTTGAAGCCTAATTCTAAAGTTAGGACATTGATTTTTGTTTGTTCTTCATAAACATGTCAACTCATATGTACAGATGAGTGCCTCCTTGACTATAGCCATTCTGGAAAGATCTGCACTTATTCTAACCACATCACTGTTCTCAAACTATGTCTGGAATTGCTTTTGGGTCTGTGAGAGTCTTTTCCACGCTCTCAATGGTGACTCTCAGAGGTAGATTTTTATTTTCAAGAACAACCAGGGCTGCTCTGGGCCCGGTATGGTGAACTAGAGGTACAGTCAAACTAGATGCAAAAGGGTTGACTCTAAAGTATCCAGGCTGATTTATCTTGAGTGGATTTGTATTCAGCCCCAGAAGGTCATTTTCAAAGACAAACCCCAGACATGAAGTCAACAGGTCATGTAGCTTGTTAATGACATCAAGCTTGAGGGATGGGGGTCCAGAACATACGGTGACTGTGCAGAAGGAAACCCCATTCATTTGGATATGCTTGTTTTTTTAGAGTCTCCTCTCTGCAGAAATAGTTCCTCCAGTCCAGATACACCCTATTTCAGAAGTACAAGGACTCCACTGTCTTATCCAACTTTTAGTCATCAACATGGGTATTTTGTGTGTCAAACAATTAGCATATGGTAAGTTATATGTAGGGATGAATGTCTAATGAATCTAGTGCTTATGCTACCTGACTCAAAGGGCAGAACTAGCGGGCTCTCCAGGCATTCATTTCCTCTCCCTGGAAGGAAGGCATTGTCAGCAGTTGGAGCTGTCCAGCAACTAGAGTTTGTTTGTTCTGGAAACGGTGAGCTTCCAGCGCTTGGAGGGGTTAGAAGCAAAGGCTGCTTGTTATGGGAACCTGTAGAGGCGCCCCTGTAATAGGTGGGGAGCTATGCAGTAACTTCCAAGGGTTATCCCCAGTCCAGCCTACACAATTACTGGCACTTGGTAGCCCCAGAAGAAGTTACTGGTTGGGGAAGATCAATGAGGAATATGGTGTATCTGTAAGCCAGGTAGAGTGGAAGAGACCAATGGCTTGGTCAAGATGCAAGGAAGGAAGAAGTGGGAAGGACATACCCAGGAAGCCAACCGGTAGAACCTTCCTTGAGATTTTGGCATGATAGATCAGAGAATTTACTTTGGGTACCTGAAGCCTCAGATGGCTGGCTGTGAAAGGGCAACCAATACCTTGTAAGGATAGGAGTTGGGGAAGGAGAAGGATCACTACGCACCCTTTTTAAACTCCTCCAGCACCGTGTCCAGCCGAGTATCATTGAAGACGCAGTGCAGGGGCCGGTTGTAGAAGCGGGTGACAGTGAGGAGTGGGGTGCAGTCGTCAGGGTCTACGAAGGCCAAGTCCTTGACAAACAGAATGTCCACAATATTGTGCCGCTGGTCGCCCTCGTACACTGGGATGCGAGTGTAGCCACTGCGAAGGATCTCGGATACAGTGGCGAAGTCGAGCACCGCGTCCGAACGCAGCATGAAGCAGTCCCCAAGAGGGGTCAGCACCTCCTCCACCACCTTGGTGCGCAGCTCCAGGGCGCCCTGGATGATGTTGAGCTCCTCCTTCACCAGGTCGCTGTAAGGGTCCGCAGCCCGCAGCGTCTCCAGCAGTTTCTCCCGTGTGTAGAAGGTGCTGATCTCCTGGCGCAGTGCCCAGTCCAAAAGGCGGCCCAGTGGGTAGCACACGGGGAAGGCGGCCGCCATCAAGAGCCGCGTCAGACACACGCTGTGGGAGGCGATGGCCAGCCCGTGTCGCGAACACACCGAGTAGGGGCAGATCTCGGCTCCCAGGAACACGGCACCTGTGCACACGAGCGCTGGCAGCCACGGGAAGTGGATGCCCGCCTCGCTGTAGTCCTCCCCGGTGCCCCCGACGCCGGGCGGCAGAGAGGCGTACAGCCAGCCGGCCAGGGCGGCATTGGCTCCGGCTTGGCCCAGGAGCAGGGTGCAGAGCAGATGGGTCCCCCTGCCGCGCACGGCCTGCACGCGGCGTGCCTGCTCCTGCTCGGCGGCCGAGCCACTGTTCCGCAGCACCCGTAACTCCACCGGGTCCAGCGACAGCAGGCTCAGGCGCAAGCCGCTGAACAGGGCGGACAGGGCCAGCAGCAGGAGCGCTCCGAGCGCCCGCAGCCACGCGGGCGGCAGCAGGTCCCCACCCGGGCCGTAGGGCCGCGGGCGGACGCGCAGCAGGAAGCCACCGGCAGCGCCGTGGTGGTGCCAAGCGCGCCCATCCCAGGCGCACAGCGAGAAGAGCTTCCCGCCACCGCCCGCGCGGCTGCGCTCCGCCTCGCCCTTGCGCAGCTCTCGCACCCGCACCTGGACCAGGGCCGAGCCTGCCACGCCCCCGGGCCGCAGGGGCCCCAGGACCTCCACGTCCGATGCCCAGTCGCTCTGTTCCCGGCAGCGCTGCGGGCCCGGGGGGCGCGTGGGGACCGCGCTGGGCGCCGCTCCGCTCCCGCCCGGGGGCTCCTCGATGAACACGAGCCGCGGGGCCCAGTCGCCAGTGCTGTTCTCCCCCGGGGACACAGTGGGCGCGGGCACTGGCGTGGCGGGGGCCGCGGGCCCCGGCTGGAAATAGACGCGCAGGAGGAAGCTGGTGCCTTCGGCCGCACGCAGGGTGCCCCCCTCCAGCGACACGCGGCCTCCAGCAGTGTCTTCAGGCCGCAGACCCAGCAGCCAGGCAGCAGCGGCCGGGGGCCGAGGGGACAGCGAAAAGAAGAGCAGAAGTACGGCGCCCCGGCTGCAGCAATCCCGGAGCCTGACACCCACCGCTGCTGCCGCCGCGGCCGCCGCCGCCATCCTGCACCCGGCGCGGCTACACGTGATACTGCAGAAAGCCGAGCGAGAGCTGGAGGGAGGAGGAGCCGGAGCTGGGGAGCCGGCCCCAGGCAGGTCACCACGTGTGCTCCCAGCTGCACGCGTGGGCTGGAGGTTGGGGTGGGGGTGTGTGTTCAGAACCTGCCTGGGAAGGGGGTACCCGCTGGAGGCTAGAGATGGTCGTGCGCCACTGCACGCTGCATAGGCTGGACACACTTCAGGGTATCTGAGCTGCAGCCCGGGCAAGGTTTTGTTTGGAGCATGGCCTCCTACTCCAGCAGCTACTGCCGCCATCCCACCTCCCCCCCCATTCCCCTGCCCTCCCCTCCCCTCCCCGCCCCAGGCAGCGGACTCCTACCCGGCAGTAATTCCCTGCCTGCCCCACTGCTTCCTCATTGGCCAGGAAATTTCTCAGCCTTTCTCTTTCACTGCCACTTGCATTCTTCCTTCTAGTTAAAAGATATTCTGGAGGTCAGTCTTGACTCTGTGAAAACTCCTAGCGTTCTATCTCAACGCCAGCTGACCTTCCAGCTGGATCCGTATGTCCATCAATAAGTAATTTGAAATAAATTATGGTACCACTATACAACAGAATACTATGCATCAGGAAAAAGAACGTGATGGATGCCCTGTACTTGTGATATGGACAAGTCTTAAAAGTAATAGTAGCAAAATAGCAAGGTGTAGAACAATGTGTATAGTATGCTACCTTTCTGTTAAAAGTATTTATGAATAAACTTATATATGTACATCTACACACATATACTTAAACATTAGACTTAAAATGCAGAGCCTATAGGAGAAATGTAATAGTGCTTATTTCTAGGGAGCAGGAATTTTTAGGCTCTGAAAGTCTGATTGAGAGAGACTTTAAAAAGTTATAGATTAACAGGAATTTGCAAAATAACACACAGAGGTTCCTCTACCCTCCACTCCTTTTCCTCCACTGGTGACATTGAAACTATGTATACTGTAGTATCAAAAGCAGGAAATTGACGTTGGTATAATGTGTGTGTACAGTTCTGTATCGTTTCATCACATGTGTAAATTTATGTAACCATCACCACAAACTACAGATCTACCAGCATAAAGGTCTGGGAAACTTTATAACTCAATTTTTAGAATTACTTGTGCTAGTCATAGGCCAGGATTATGCATTTATTTTTTATCTAGTAACATTTACTTTTTAGTATATTGTTGTATGAGTTTTGATGAATGCATATTTATGTAACCATCACAATAAAAATAGTTCCATCGGGGCACTCAGTGGTAGCATGCAAAAAGCCCTGGGGTCAATCCCCAGTAGGCAAAAGTAAAAAAGAGAAAAAGAAGAAAACAAAATTTCCATCTTCCTTATCCCCTTTTCCATAACGTCATATAAACAGAATAATAAGTGTGTAGCCTTTTTGTGTCTAGCATTCGTATTCAATTAGAGTAACACATTTAAGATTCATCCATGTCGTGTGTTTAATCAACAGGTCATCCCTTCCTATGGCTGAGCAGTATTCCATTATATGATTTGTCACAGTTTGTTGATGTAGTTAAAGAACTTTCTGGCTATTTCCCATTTTTGGCAATTATGAATAAAGAGCTATAAACATTTGCGTGTAGGTTTTGTGTGAACATGTTTTCATTTCTCTTGAGTGAATTTATCATAGTTTTCTATTACATTAATTAATAAATGTTATATTGAAGTCACAGATTTTAAAAATTTTTTCTTTATTTCTAAATTTATTTTGGTGATGGAGATTTAACTTGGGTATCTCACACATGCTTAGCACACACACTACCACTGAGCTACACCCCAGCCCTTATTTTATTTTAAACTGATATAGATATATACAGGAAGAGTACATATATATACTCTTCCCCGTTCTTAGAATAGTGTCACATTCTAAGTACCGGATCTATTGCCCCCAATATTCTTGTGGTGAAAACACTTAAAATCCTTTCTTTCAGTTATTACTATTAACTGTAAGTACCTTGCTGTGCAATACGACACCAGTGCTTATTCCTCCTACCTAGCTATAACTCTGTAGCCATTGACCACTCCTCCCCTTTTCCCTGTCCATCCTTCCCAGCCTCTGATCAACATCACTCCACCCTCTACTTCATGCATTCTTTTTTAGGTTCCACATATAACGTGGAATCTGCCTGCCATATTTCACCCATATTTCACTTAACAAAATGTCCCCAGATTTATCCACATTACCACAAATGATAGAATTTCCTGTTGTTTATATACCACATTTTATTTATTTACTTATTTGTTTCATTTGGGAGATTAAGTAAATAAATAAAATAAATAAAACTGGGATTTAAACTTAGGGCCTTATACTTGCAAGGCAGGCGCTCTACCACTTGAGCCACTCAGTCAGCTCTTATGTGCTATATTTTAAAGCTCCATTTGTCTGTTGATGGACACAGGCTGCAGTGGACATGAAAGTGCAGAGATCTCTTTGACATTCTCCTTCTTCTTTTTTTTCTTCTTCTCCTTCTTTTTCTTCAACATATCGTTGTACTGGTGGTGGGTACACTGTGGCATTTACAAAAGTGCTTACAATATATCACAGTTAAATTCATCCCCTCCATCACTCTCCTTTATCCCCTCCCCCATTCTTAGAATAGTTTCAACAGGTCTTATTTTTCTATTTTCATACACAAGTATACAATATTTCCACCATATTCACCCTCCTACACCCTTTCCTTATATCCTCCCCCTCCCACTGGTACCAACCTCCCAGGCAGGACTTGTTTTACCTTCCTGTCCTCCATTTTGGAAAAAAGACATTTTTGTTTAAGATATTTGTACAGGAAGTTTCATTGTGGCATTTCCATGTATATGTGTATTATATCTTTAATTGATTCATCCCTCTAATTTTTTTCCTTTCTACTTTAGCCCCCTTCTTGTGATTGCAACAGGTGCAAAAATTGTATATTCATTCTTGTATAGAAAGTGCATCAAACATCCTCACTTTCTTTCCTGTCCATCTCTTCAACATTCTAATTTCAATTCCTTTGGGTATATACCCAGTGATGGGATTGCTGGATCATATGGCAATTCTTTGTTTAGTTTTTTAAGAAACCTCCATACCATTTTCTAAAATGGCTATACTAATTTACATGTATTACTTTTTAAAATCCAAAAAGTAATAGCAATTTCACATAGTACCTTTGGCAACTCAGACTAAAGAAAAAAAAAGAAAAAAAAAGTAATTGCTCTGTGCGAAAGAAATCTTATTTTCCATGGCATTTGTGGGAACCCATGGGTGTGGGCTGAGAAAGCCTTTCAAAGGATAAAGCTAATACACACAATCCCAGATACAAGTTACCTTTTCCATAATCAACTCTTCTAACCCAGAGTGGAAACAGCTTCTCTCTGGTTTGGGACTAGCTTGGCTTTCAGTTTATTGGCCAAATTCTACATAGGTTGCTTTTTATGTTCTGCAGAGAATGTGAAACAAGCCTGCCCTGGCCTCACAATGAAGTGGATCCTGTCCATTACAAGCTGCTTCTTGGTGGAGTTCTTCAGAGATGGAAGAAGATTTAACCTCAAGAGGGAACATTGAGCCAGGCACCAGTGGCTCATGCCTGTAATCCCAGATACTCAGGAAGCAGAGATCAGGAGGATCGCAGTTTGAAGCCAGTCTGGGCAAATAGTTTGCAAGACTCTATCTTGAAAATACTCAACACAAAAAAGGGATGGTGGAGTGACTCAAGTGATAGAGCACCTGCATAGCAAGCATGAGGCCCTGAGTTCAAACCCCAGTACAGCCAATAACAACAACAAAGAGGAACATTGGAAGCATAGGGAAGACAGCAGTGGGTGAGCATTTGATTGTGTCTCTTAAGTGTTCTCTCTTCTAGTCAGGCTGCACTACCCCTTAATTATGTGACTTTCAAAGCCACCAAATCAGAGCCTCAGTCCTCTCTGTTGTTTTGAGGAATAGTGTAATATATATTAATAGACTGTATTAGGAATAATATTAATACACTATCATAGTTTTTAAAGTAGTATAAAAAAGACTAGAAGACAAAATAAAGTATTTTTCATCTTAATGTGTAAACTCTTCTGTTTTCATTATATCTCAGTTTTGGAGGTAGTGTGCCAGACTGTCCTCTCTAGATGGTCCCCAGTCACACTCTCACTCAAAGCTCTCATGTCTCTTCTGATACTCAGATTTCTCTCCCCTCCCAACTCAAACTCTTCAGCACAAAGACACTGGTTATGTAAGGGTTCTCATACCTCTCTTAGGCCATACGATCTTTTCATCCCTACAAATACCACCTGACATTTTTTTTAAATCAAACTTTAGAGTTACAACAGAATTTCATATCTGTTATTTCATACACACAGAATCCTGTGAAATCACTGTAATTACACTTATCTTATAGGTCAGGTTAAATGACTGAACTCTAGGTCCATGCTCCTCAGCTGCAGCGCTTAGCAGAAGGAAAATAAATCCTTTCAAAAATATTGGATCAGGAAATTAAAAGCCTGACTTTCTGATTAAAGTATTACATGCTCATTAAAAATAAAATTTTAGTGCAGAAAAACATAAACTATAACACTAGGAGCCAGAGATAAATGCATAATATTTTGGCACACTTCTTTTTATGAAATATACACATACACGTGCTCTCTGCAGATTTATATATTTTATAATTGAATATATTATATACAATTCAATTCTTTTTTTTTCTAATGTAGTAAAAAATTCTTTCATAAACATTATTTCTTTTTCCTTTTCTTTTGGTAGGACTTGGGGTTAGAACTCAGGGCTTCTAGCTTACTAGGCAACCACTCTACCACTTGAGCCTCCAGGCCTCTTTTTGCCCTGGCTTGCCTGGATCTCAATCCTCCAATTTTATGATTTCTGCTGTATCAAAGTCACCTTGTCTAGTTTTTTTTTCAGTTGAGATGGGATCTTGCAAAGTTTTTTGCCCAGGCTCACCTGGAACTGTGATCCCCCCCAATCTTAGCCTCCCACATAGCTAGGATCACAGACATAAACCACTGGTGCCTGCTTAGGTATCCTGTTTTTTTTTTTTTTTTGGTGGTACCGAGGTTTTGAACTCAGGGACTTGTGCTTGCTAGACAGGCACTCTACACTTGAGCCATGCCACCAGCCTTTTTTGTCCTTTATAAAAAAAAATTTGTTTTGTAGTTCAGGCTATCAAATCCAGTGCCTTGAGCATGCATTGCACAAGCTCTAACATTGAGCTACAAACCCAGTCCTCATAGATGTAATTTTATAATGAGGAGGAGAA